ATTGTTGGCTATTGCTACAAATATACCTGTGCTGCTTATGACTGCTTTTGTGCTGCAGGGTCACAGATATGGTAAATACTCCCGATGTTTTCTGTATATGTGCAATACAGAGCTTCTCATAAAAGCCCAGTTAGTCATCAGTCACAAGAGATTGAAAACACACGAGGTCGATGTGGGAGAGAATCAGTTTGGGCGTGATAATTTATAGGATGTTTTTATTGTTATTTTCATGATCATCAGTGTTTTTGTCATGTGATCAGTCAAACATTTGTACACAAAACTCATGATCTTAAACAACCTTTTGATCTAAAGGAGTCTAAACAGTAGTAGATGAAAATAAATCAATATTTTAATATATTTTTAAAAACTAATTTACTAATAATTTTAGTAGGCAAAAATTAATTAATATTTTAAGAATTAAAAAAAAAAAATTTACTAAGGATTTTAGTAGACAAATAATAAATTAATAAAAAAAGGTGCTCATATATGAGTCTTCAGTTGTATAACGTTTGGATCACTGCATCATTCCCAGACTTATATCTGTGTGATTTTAGAGTTTATAACTATTATTCTAACATGAGGAAATGAATGAATCGATGCGTCTAAATGTTTGACTGCTAGTGTGTGTAATGAATGTAATATGAATATCTCTGTGTGTAGCCTTGTGTGATTGTTATTTCTAAAGGACTAGTGTTTAGTTTAATAATTTATAATTTCATTTTTATAATTTAAACTGGTAGAACATTTCATTTGATCAGTCAGGATCATTTCAACATGTACAGCGGTGGCGATTGTTTTATTTCTTCATGTTTACATTTCATTACATTAGACAATGAAATATCAGATCAGGTGTCATTTGTTGTAAAGAAAGCGTGTTGAAGATTGTGACACACTGTGGTTTCTGAAAATGTTCCACTAATATTTCACAACCAGTGTCACAACACTTTTGGCCTGCGTTTTCAACATTAGGTGAGATGCTTTGATTGTAAAGTGTGTTGCTAAAGGGCATCTTTCTTTACAATCAATGACACTTCATGTAATATTTTACAACATCTAATGACTTTCAGCCATTTTTAACCCTTGTTCTGCTGAAAATCCTTGTGTTCCTGGTCAAAAATGACCTTTTATGGCCTTTTAAAAATTGTTTGTATTATACTATATTATCAACAAATCTTGGATTTAGACTTTTTATCAACTAGTTTTCTTTCAATCAGCTGCACAGGTTTTGTATTTCTGATTAATTGTAGGTCTCATTGATCTGAGCTTGTGCACCACAGTTTTTGAGTGAAAAAAAACAAACAAAAAACATTTGTGAATAATTTTGCCAATATTGACTCTGAGATCAATGAGGCCTAAGATCAATCAGTTTCAGAATGAAATACAAAACCTATGCTAATTACAAAAAAGAAAAGGAAAAAATAAAAAAGTTGCTAAAAAGATTGATGACAAATAACATAATGTGAAATTTATGTGCAATATTTTTGTGCAAAAATGTGCAAAATTCATTTTTGACTGAGAAACATTGACATTTTCTCTGAGAGAGAGAGAGAGAGAGACAGAGAGAAAGAGCGAGAGAGAGAAAGAGAGAGCGAGAGAGAGAGAGAGAGAAAGAGAGAGCGAGAGAAAGAGAGAGAGCGAGAGAGAGAGAGAGAGCGAGAGAGAGAGAGAGAGAAAGAGAGAGCGAGAGAAAGAGAGAGAGCGAGAGAGAGAGAGAGAGCGAGAGAGAGAGAGAGAGAAAGAGAGAGCGAGAGAAAGAGAGAGAGCGAGAGAGAGAGAGAGAGCGAGAGAGAGAGAGAGAGAAAGAGAGAGCGAGAGAAAGAGAGAGAGCGAGAGAGAGAGAGAGAGCGAGAGAGAGAGAGAGAGAAAGAGAGAGCGAGAGAAAGAGAGAGAGCGAGAGAGAGAGAGAGAGCGAGAGAGAGAGAGAGAGAAAGAGAGAGCGAGAGAAAGAGAGAGAGCGAGAGAGAGAGAGAGAGCGAGAGAGAGAGAGAGAGAAAGAGAGAGCGAGAGAAAGAGAGAGAGCGAGAGAGAGAGAGAGAGCGAGAGAGAGAGAGAGAGAAAGAGAGAGCGAGAGAAAGAGAGAGAGCGAGAGAGAGAGAGAGAGCGAGAGAGAGAGAGAGAGAAAGAGAGAGCGAGAGAAAGAGAGAGAGCGAGAGAGAGAGAGAGAGCGAGAGAGAGAGAGAGAGAAAGAGAGAGCGAGAGAAAGAGAGAGAGCGAGAGAGAGAGAGAGAGCGAGAGAGAGAGAGAGAGAAAGAGAGAGCGAGAGAAAGAGAGAGAGCGAGAGAGAGAGAGAGAGCGAGAGAGAGAGAGAGAGAAAGAGAGAGCGAGAGAAAGAGAGAGAGCGAGAGAGAGAGAGAGAGCGAGAGAGAGAGAGAGAGAAAGAGAGAGCGAGAGAAAGAGAGAGAGCGAGAGAGAGAGAGAGAGCGAGAGAGAGAGAGAGAGAAAGAGAGAGCGAGAGAAAGAGAGAGAGCGAGAGAGAGAGAGAGAGCGAGAGAGAGAGAGAGAGAAAGAGAGAGCGAGAGAAAGAGAGAGAGCGAGAGAGAGAGAGAGAGCGAGAGAGAGAGAGAGAGAAAGAGAGAGCGAGAGAAAGAGAGAGAGCGAGAGAGAGAGAGAGAGCGAGAGAGAGAGAGAGAGAAAGAGAGAGCGAGAGAAAGAGAGAGAGCGAGAGAGAGAGAGAGAGCGAGAGAGAGAGAGAGAGAAAGAGAGAGCGAGAGAAAGAGAGAGAGCGAGAGAGAGAGAGAGAGCGAGAGAGAGAGAGAGAGAAAGAGAGAGCGAGAGAAAGAGAGAGAGCGAGAGAGAGAGAGAGAGCGAGAGAGAGAGAGAGAGAAAGAGAGAGCGAGAGAAAGAGAGAGAGCGAGAGAGAGAGAGAGAGCGAGAGAGAGAGAGAGAGAAAGAGAGAGCGAGAGAAAGAGAGAGAGCGAGAGAGAGAGAGAGAGCGAGAGAGAGAGAGAGAGAAAGAGAGAGCGAGAGAAAGAGAGAGAGCGAGAGAGAGAGAGAGAGCGAGAGAGAGAGAGAGAGAAAGAGAGAGCGAGAGAAAGAGAGAGAGCGAGAGAGAGAGAGAGAGCGAGAGAGAGAGAGAGAGAAAGAGAGAGCGAGAGAAAGAGAGAGAGCGAGAGAGAGAGAGAGAGCGAGAGAGAGAGAGAGAGAAAGAGAGAGCGAGAGAAA